ACGAAAACAAACCCCCCCCCCCCCCCCCCCCGAAATCTTGGACGGAAGCAAAGTGCCGTGGATGGGGAGGATGGGGAGGATGGGGGAGGATGGGGGAGGATGGGGGAGTGGGGTGGTGGTGGTGGGCTTCAATCACCAGACGAGCCTGGGCCTGAGCCTGGGCCTGAGCCTGGGCCTGAGCCTGGGCCTGAGCCTGGGCCTGAGCCTGGGCCTGAGCCTGGGCCTGAGCCTGAGCCGCCGCCGCCCTTGGCACGCCGCCTGGCCGCTGGCGACTGCAGCGTGGCGAGGGCGTGGAGCTGCGACTTCAGCCGGGCCCTGGCCGCGTGGAAGAGGCTCGAGGTGGTGTGGGGGGCCACGTGGGGGGCCACGTGGGGGGCCACGTGGGGGGCCACGTGGGGGGCCACGTGGGGGGCCACGTGGGGAGCGACGCCGTCGACGACGCCGACGCGGTTGTCTGCGAGAGGAAGGCGGAGCACGGTCAGTCGGTCAGTGAGGCAGTGAGGCAGTGAGGCAGTGAGGCAGTGAGGCAGTGAGGCAGTGAGGCAGTGAGGCAGTCGGTCAGTGAGGCAGTGAGGCAGTGAGGCAGTGAGGCAGTGAGGCAGTCGGTCAGTGAGGCAGTGAGGCAGTGAGGCAGTGAGGCAGTGAGGCAGTCGGTCAGTGAGGCAGTCGGTCAGTGAGGCAGTGAGGCAATCGGTCAGTGAGGCAGTCAGTCAGTGAGGCAGTGAGGCAGTCGGTCAGTCGGTCAGTGAGGCAGTGAGGCAGTCGGTCAGTGAGTCAGTGAGTCAGTCGGTCAGTGAGGCAGTGAGGCAGTCGGTCAGTGAGGCAGTGAGTCAGTCGGTCAGTGAGGCAGTGAGGCAGTCGGTCAGTGAGTCAGTGAGTCAGTCGGTCAGTGAGGCAGTGAGGCAGTCGGTCAGTGAGTCAGTGAGTCAGTCGGTCAGTGAGGCAGTGAGGCAGTCGGTCAGTGAGGCAGTGAGGCAGTGAGTCACTTGGTCAGTGAGGCAGTCGGTCAGGTGGGCAGTGAGGCAGTGAGGCAGTCGGTCAGTGAGGCAGTGAGGCAGTGAGGCAGTGAGGCAGTCGGTCAGTGAGGCAGTGAGGCAGTGAGGCAGTCGGTCAGTCGGTCAGTGAGGCAGTCGGTCAGTGAGGCAGTCGGTCAGTGAGTCAGTGAGTCAGTCGGTCAGTGAGGCAGTGAGGCAGTCGGTCAGTGAGGCAGTGAGTCAGTCGGTCAGTGAGGCAGTGAGGCAGTCGGTCAGTGAGGCAGTGAGGCAGTGAGTCACTTGGTCAGTGAGGCAGTCGGTCAGTTGGTCAGTGAGGCAGTGAGGCAGTCGGTCAGTGAGGCAGTGAGGCAGTGAGGCAGTGAGGCAGTCGGTCAGTGAGGCAGTGAGGCAGTGAGGCAGTCGGTCAGTCGGTCAGTGAGGCAGTCAGTCAGTGAGGCAGTGAGGCAGTGAGGCAGTCGGTCAGTGAGTCACTTGGTCAGTGAGGCAGTGAGGCAGTCGGTCAGTGAGGCAGTCGGTCAGTGAGGCAGTGAGGCAGTGAGGCAGTGAGGCAGTCGGTCAGTGAGGCAGTGAGGCAGTGAGGCAGTCGGTCAGTGAGGCAGTCAGTCAGTGAGGCAGTGAGGCAGTGAGGCAGTCGGTCAGTGAGTCACTTGGTCAGTGAGGCAGTGAGGCAGTCGGTCAGTGAGGCAGTGAGGCAGTCGGTCAGTGAGGCAGTGAGGCAGTCGGTCAGTGAGGCAGTGAGGCAGTGAGGCAGTCAGTCAGTGAGGCAGTCAGTCAGTGAGGCAGTGAGGCAGTCGGTCAGTGAGGCAGTGAGGCAGTCGGTCAGTGAGGCAGTGAGGCAGTGAGGCAGTCGGTCAGTCGGTCAGTGAGGCAGTCGGTCAGTGAGGCAGTGAGGCAGTGAGGCAGTCGGTCAGTGAGTCACTTGGTCAGTGAGGCAGTCAGTCAGTGAGGCAGTCGGTCAGTGAGTCACTTGGTCAGTGAGTCAGTGAGTCAGTCGGTCAGTGAGGCAGTCGGTCAGTGAGGCAGTGAGGCAGTCGGTCAGTCGGTCAGTGAGGCAGTCGGTCAGTGAGTCAGTGAGTCAGTTGGTTAGTGAGGCAGTCGGTCAGTCGGTCAGTGAGGCAGTCGCTCGGCCTTAGGCCCGGACCTACGCCCTAGGCCTCCAACACCTCCACATCCATCTCACCACCCTCACCACCTCCTCCACCTCCTCCACCTCACCACCTCCTCCACCTCCTCCACCTCACCACCTCCTCCACCTCCACCACCCTCACCACCCTCACCACCTCCACCACCCTCACCACCCTCACCACCTCCTCCACCCTCACCACCTCCACCACCCTCACCACCCTCACCACCCTCACCACCTCCACCACCCTCACCACCTCCTCCACCTCCACCACCCTCACCACCCTCACCACCCTCACCACCTCCACCACCCTCACCACCTCCTCCACCTCCTCCACCCTCACCACCTCCACCACCCTCACCACCTCCACCACCCTCACCACCCTCACCACCTCCACCACCCTCACCACCCTCACCACCCTCACCACCTCCACCACCCTCACCACCTCCTCCACCTCCACCACCCTCACCACCCTCACCACCCTCACCACCTCCACCACCCTCACCACCTCCTCCACCTCCTCCACCCTCACCACCTCCACCACCCTCACCACCTCCACCACCCTCACCACCCTCACCACCTCCACCACCCTCACCACCCTCACCACCCTCACCACCTTCACCACCCTCACCACCTCCTCCACCTCCTCCACCTCCTCCACCTCCACCACCTTCACCCCCCTCACCACCTCCACCACCACCACCACCCTCACCACCCTCACCACCCTCACCTCCACCTCCCCAGATCCTCTCCCCGTCAAATCCCGGGCCCTGCCCAGGCCTCAGGCCCGGACCTAGGCCCAGTCCTCCTCCACCGCCTCCTCCACCGCCTCCTCCGCCTCCACCGCCTCCTCCGCCGCCTCCTCCGCCTCCACCGCCTCCTCCGCCTCCACCGCCTCCACCGCCTCCGCCGCCTCCTCCACCGCCTCCGCCGCCTCCGCCGTGTCCCTCGCCGCCCTCCCCGCCTCGGCCGCATCCCTCGAACAGCGCCGGGGGCAGCGTCCGGAGGTCGCGGCCGGCGGCCTCGGGGGGCCCGGCGCAGGCCACCTCCGAGCTGGCCCCTCGGTAGGCCCGGAGCCAGGCGGCGAGGCCGGCGGCCCGGCAGTCGCAGGCCCACGGGTTGAGGTTGAGGCGCAGGTAGAGGAGGGCCGGGAGGCGGGCGAGGGTGCCGGGGCCCAGGGCCGTCAGCTCGTTCTGGAACAGGTAGAGGGTGGTGAGGGAGCCGAGGCCGCCGAAGACGCCGGCAGGCAGCGACGGCAGCCGGTTGCGGTGGAGCAGGAGGCGGTCGAGGCTCCGCAGGCCGGCCAGAGCCGACGGGGCGAGCGAGCGGAGGCGGTTGCCGTGCAGGAAGAGGTGGGTGAGGTTGGCGAGCCGGGAGAAGATGCCGTCCTGGAGGTGGACGAGGTGGTTCTCCTGTTGTGGTGGGGGGGGGGGGGGGGGGGGGGTGGGGCGGGGGTGAAGGTGGTGGTGAAGGTGGTGGTGAAGGTGGTGGTGGTGGTGGTGAAGGTGGTGGTGGTGGTGGAGGTGAGGGGGTGGTGGTGGTGTTGGTGAAGGTGGTGGTGAAGGTGGTGGTGGTGATGAAGGTGGTGGAGGTGAAGGTGGTGGTGGTGGTGGGGGAGGTGGTGGTGGTGTTGGTGAAGGTGGGGAAGGTGGTGGTGGTGGTGGTTGAGGTGGAAGTAGTGAAGGTGGTGGTGGAGGTGAAGGTGGTGAAGGTGAAGGTGGTGGTGAAAGTTGTGGTGGTGGTGGTGGTGGTGCTGGTGAAGGTGGTGGTGGTGGTGTTGAAGATTGTGAAGTTGGTGGTGAAGGTTGTGGTGGTGGTGGTGGTGAAGGTAGTGGTGGTGGTGGTGGTGAAGGTGGTGAAGGTAGTGGTGGTGGTGGTGAAGGTGGTGGTGGTGGTGGTGGAGGTGGTGGTGGTGAAGGTGGTGGTGGGGGAGGTGGTGGTGGTGGTGTTGGGGAAGGTGGTGAGGGGGTGGTGGTGGTGGTTGAGGTGGTGGTGGTGGAGATGGTGGTAGTGGTGGGGAAGGTGGTGGTGGTTGAAGTGGAAGTAGTGAAGGTGGTGGTGGAGGTGAAGGTGGTGGTGGTGGTGGTGGTGGTGAAGGTGTTGTGAAGGTTGTGGTGGTGGTGGTGGTGGTGGTGAAGGTGAAGTTGGTGGTGAAAGTTGTGGTGGTGGTGGTGGTGGTGGTAGAGGTGGAGGTAGTGAAGGTGGTGATGGAGGTGGTGGTGGTGGTGGTGGTGGTGGTGGTGAAGGTGGTGGTGGAGGTGGTGGTGGTGGTGGTGGTGGTGGAGGTGGTGGTGGTGGTGGTGGTAGTGGTGGTGGTGAAGGTGGTGGTGGTGAAGGTGGTGGTTGAGGTGGTGGTGGTTGTGGTGAAGGTGGTGGTTGAGGTGGTGGTAGTGGTGGTGGTGTTGAGGGTGGTGAGGGTTGTGGTGTTGGTAGTGCACAATAACGGAACAAGAGAGATCTTAAACAACATCACCACCATCACCTACACACACACACAGACAAAAGTCCCCCGTGTAGCCTCTAACAGGCTGTAGGGGCAAGTGCTGTCAGCAGCAGCAGCGTCTATGAAGGCTACCGGCACTGTGGCTACACACACAGAGGGGGTGGGTGGTCAGCACCACCACGCCCGGCCGCCTTTGTCTCTCCCCCAGTGCTTGCGATGTTCACTACACCACACCACTACACCACCACCACTACACCACCACCACCACTACACCACACCACTACACCACCCCTACACCACCACTACACCACCACCACCACTACACCACTACCACCACTACACCACTACTACACCACCACCACTACACCACCACTACTACACCACCATTACACCACCACCACTACACCACCACCACTACACCACCACCACTACACCACCACCACCACTACACCACTACCACCACTACACCACTACTACACCACCACCACTACACCACTACTATTACACCACCACTATACCACCACCACCACTACACCACTACCACCACTACACCACCACCACTACACCACCACTACTACACCACCACTACACCACCACCACCACCACTACACCACCACCACTACACCACCACCACTACACCACCACTACCACTACACCACCACCACCACTACACCACCACCACTACACCACCACTACTACACCACCACCACGACACCACCACCACTACACCACCACCGCTACACCAGGTGACTCATTTGAGGCTGAGTCGACCTAGGGGAGGTCGCAGGACCGGTTCAGAGAATCGCCATCGCTGGTGGTGGTGTTGGACGTGAGCGGGAATCGAACTCAGGTCGCCGGGTTCGTAGCGCAGCGTAGCGCTCACCACTACACCCACCACTCCTCTGTCACCTCCATCACCTCCACCACCACCTCCACCACCACCTCCATCACCACCACAACCCCCACCACCAACACCACCAACACTACCTCCTCCATCACCTCCACCACCACCAACACTACCAGCACCACCACCCTCACCACTACCACCACCACCACCACCTCCATCACCTCCACCACCACCACCCTCACCACCACCCCCCACCACCACCCCCCCACCACCATCACCACCACCACCATCACCACCACCACCATCACCACCACCACCATCACCACCACCACCCTCACCACCAACACTACCACCACCACCACTTCACCACCACTACACCACCCCCAACACCAACACCACCACCACCATCACCACCACCACCATCACCACCACCACCCTCACCACCACCATCACCACCACCACCACCTCCATCACCTCCACCACCACCCCCACCACCACCACCCCCACCACCAACACCACCAACACTACCACCACCACCACCATCACCACCACCACCACCAACACCACCACCACCTCCATCACCACCACCACCCCCACCACCACCACCACCACCAACACTACCTCCTCCATCACCTCCACCACCACCAACACTACCAGCACCACCACCCTCACCACCACCCTCACCACCACCACCCCCCCACCCCCCCCCCCCCCCACCACCCCCCCCACCCACCACCCCCACCCCCACCTGCAGGTACAGGAATCTCAGCGCCTCCAGGTCGTCGAAGAGGCCCGTGGGGAGCTGTGCCAGGCCACAGCGGTAGAGGTGCAGGGCCGTGAGCGAGCGGAGGCCGCCCAGGGCCCCCACGGGGAGACTCCTGAGGGCCGGGTTCGCCCCCAGGTCGAGCTCCTCGAGGCGCGAGAGACCCCCGAAGGCCTCGGAGTCGACGCGGCTCAAATTGTTGGAGTGTAGCCAGAGGGTGAGCACCTGGGGTGTGAGACGCAGAGACACAGACAGAGAGAGAGAGAGACACGCGCAGAGAGAGACACAGAGACACAGAGAGACACAGACACACACAGAGACACAGAGAGAGAGAGAGACACACACAGAGAGACACAGAGAGAGAGAGAGAGACACGCAGAGAGAGACACAGAGAGAGACAGAGACACAGAGACACAGAGACACTCACAGAGACTCACACAGAGACAGAGAGACACAGAGAGAGAGAGACACGCAGAGACACACAGAGACACAGAGAGACACACACAGAGACACAGAGACACAGAGAGAGACACACACAGAGACAGAGAGACACACAGAGACACACAGAGACACAGAGAGAGACACACAGAGAGACACAGAGAGACACACACAGAGAGACACACACAGAGACACAGAGAGACAGAGACACACACACAGAGACTCACACAGAGAGACACTCACAGAGAGACAGAGACACACACAGACAGAGACACACACAGAGAGACACAGAGACACAGAGAGACACACAGAGAGACACTCACAGAGAGACACACAGAGAGACACACAGAGACACAGAGACACAGAGAGACGCAGAGACACAGAGAGACACACACAGAGAGACACAGAGACACAGAGACACAGAGAGACAGAGACACACACAGAGAGACACTCACAGAGAGACACAGAGACACAGAGAGACACTCACAGAGAGACACAGAGACACAGAGAGACCCACACAGAGACACTCACAGAGACTCACACAGAGACACAGAGAGAGACACACACAGAGAGACACACAGAGACACAGAGAGACACACAGAGACACAGAGAGACACAGAGACACAGAGAGACACAGAGACACAGAGAGACACAGACAGAGACACAGAGACACACACAGAGAGACACAGAGACAGAGACACAGAGACACTCACAGAGACTCACACAGAGACACACACAGAGAGACACACATAGAGACACACATAGACACAGACAGAGACACAGAGAGACACTCACAGAGACACAGAGACACTCACAGAGACTCACACAGAGACACAGAGAGACACACACAGAGACACTCACAGAGACACAGAGACACAGAGAGACATACAGAGAGACACACACAGACACACAGAGAGACACAGACAGAGACACAGAGACACTCACAGAGAGACACAGAGACACAGAGACACAGAGAGACACACACAGAGAGACACACAGAGACACAGAGAGACACAGAGACACACACACACAGAGACACAGAGACACACACAGAGACACAGAGACACTCACAGAGAGACAGAGACACACACAGAGAGACACACACAGAGAGACACAGAGACACAGAGACACACAGAGACACAGAGACACAGAGACACACACAGAGAGACACACACAGAGACACACAGAGACACACACAGAGACTCACACAGAGACACAGAGACACACACAGAGACACACATAGAGACTCACACAGAGACACACACACAGACACACAGAGACTCACACAGAGACACTCACAGAGAGACACACACAGAGACACACAGAGACACACAGAGACATAGAGACACACACAGAGACTCACACAGACACTCACAGAGACACACAGAGAGACACACACAGAGACACACAGAGACACACACAGAGACTCACACAGAGACATAGAGACACACACAGAGACACACACAGAGACTCACACAGAGACACAGAGATTCACACAGAGACACACATAGAGACACACACAGAGACATAGAGATTCACACAGAGACACAGACAGAGACACAGAGACTCACACAGAGACACAGAGACTCACACAGAGACATAGAGACTCACACAGAGACACAGAGACACACACAGACACACACAGAGACACAAAGAGACACACAGAGACATAGAGACTCACACAGAGACACAGACAGAGACACAAAGACTCACACAGACACACAGAGACATACACATAGACTCACACAGAGACACACACAGAGACACACACACAGAGACACAGAGACACACAGAGACACAGAGACACACACAGAGACTCACACAGAGACACAGAGACTCACACAGAGACACACACAGAGACTCACACAGAGACACACACAGAGACACAGAGACACACACAGAGACACACAGAGACACAGACACACAACACAGACACACAGAGACACACAGAGACACGCACAGACACTCACACAGAGACACACGCAGAGACACGGAGGAGTATTTTGAGGAGTGTTTTGAGGAGTGTTTTGAGGAGGAGTGTTCTGAGGAAGAGTGTTTTGTGGAGTGTTTGAGGAGGAGTGTTTTGAGGAAGAGTGTTTTGAAGAGTGTTTTGATGAGGAGTGTTTGAGGAGTGTGAATCTGACCCCCCCACCCTCGAGTGTTTTGAGGAGGAGTGTTCTGATGAGTGTTTCGAGGAGGAGTGTTTCGAGGAGGAGTATTTTGAAGAGGAGTGTTTCGAGGAGGAGTATTTTGAGGAGGAGTGTTTGGAGGATGAGTGTTTTGAGGAGGAGTGTTTCGAGGGGGAGTGTTTCGAGGAGGAGTATTTCGAGGAGGAGTGTTTCGAGGAGGAGTGTTTCGAGGGGGAGTGTTTTGAGGATGAGTGTTTCGAGGAGGAGTGTTTTGGGGAGTGTTTAAAGGAGTGTTTTGAGGAGTGTTAGGGTGAGTGTTTCGAGAAGGAGTGTTTCGAGGAGGAGTGTTAGGAGGAGTGTTTCTAGGAGGAGTGTTTCGATAAATAGTGTTTTGAGGAGTGTTTATAGGATAAGTGTTTAAAGGATGAGTGTTTATAAGAGGAGTGTTTATAGGAGGAGTGT